GTTGTGAAGTGCCTTTGAGTCGGTTCTGACCCATAGCGAGCCTGTATAGGGTTTCCAAGGAGCAGCTGGTGAGCTTGAACCACCGACCTTATGGTTCAAACTAACTTTGCAGCCCAGTGCATTAGCCTATAGCACCACACCAGGACTCACTCACACACACACTCACACAGACTGTCTCTCTATCTATCTATCACTCTGTCTCTCTATCTGTCTATCTATCTACCTACCTACCTACCTACCTACCTACCTACCTACCTATATGTAATTTTACCTTGTGGCGCTGTTTGAACCACAAGGTCGGTGGTTCAAACTCACCAGCTGCTCCTTGGAAACGCTATACAGGGTTGCTATGAGTCAGAACTGACTTGACGGCACTTAACAACAACAGCAACTATATATATATATATTGTTGTAATACCCAGAGACAGTTAATAAGCAACTCTAGGAGCTTTGTCTCGGCCACTATGAACAGAACCATGGGAAAGCAGGAGCAATGCAATGATTCTGATCTTCTATCTTTTATTCTAGCAATGTTTCTCACCATCCTTACAAATGTTTGTGAGTAGCAGTGGATTACCACCAAATCCTCTTCCTAGTCCAAGACGATTTTCAAGGTACGTAAGCCAGGATTTGAACTGCAGTTGAAGTGCCGTTCTTTAAATTTGTCTTTCAATTAACCTTTCCCCCAGCATTCTATTATGGAATTGTGGAAACAGCAAAATGGAAAGCATTTCACAGTGAATACCCATAGAGACCTGCCACCCTCACTGAGATTTAGTGTGGATTTATATCCAGAGGAGTAACATGCATGCAGACATGTGTACACAGGCAATAACTCATCTTTATTAAAGATCGGGATATTTTAAAGAAGAGCATCAATCAGTTAAAATACAAGTAACTTGAATAAGGTCTCATTTGTGAAGCTCATGTGCGTTTTGTTTGGATTAAAAGAAATGGCTGTAAGTGCCACGTTATTCCTGACTGCTGTCTATGATGGCAAACTAGGTATTGACATGTGCATTCCTCAATTTACAACACGAGTGGTCTCCTTATCTCGTTACATGAAACAACTGGTCCATTTCTCTCTCTCTCTCTCTCTTTGGTGGGCTGTCTCCCGTCTTGGAAGGTACTGTAAGTCATCCTGTTTGTTTATTCATTTAAGCAGGCAAATTCAAAGTCCAGTCAAGTGCATTAGACCCAGCGTCCTTGGTCCTCTTAAAAGAAAAGGTATGCATCACACTTCTGCTATTAGATCAAATAGAACTTGAATGAAAAACTAGAATTCTTGTCTGAATGTAGTTAAAAGTATAGTTTCCTTTTTTTCCTGAATGTTAATTTGTATTTTACTGATTCTAAAACTTGTAGATTGATTATTTTATGCTATTATGTCTTTTTTTTTAAAGGGGTATAGGATAAGTACTGAATGCCTAACCATAGGTTGACAGCTCAAAATCACCAGCAACTCCTCAGAAACCCTATACAGGGTCACTGTGCATCGGAGCTGACTTGGTGGCACTTAACAAGTACAGCAACGAGTGTCTTCTTTGTTCTTGTTATTAAGTGTCGTTGAGTCGATTCCAACCCATAGTGCCCCTGTGTAGGGTTTCCAAGGAGCAGCTGATGAGCTTGAACCACCTATCTTGTGATTCAAACCAACTTTGCAGTCTAGCACATTAACCCACAGCACCACACCAGGCCTTCAGTGTCTTCATCAGACAGCATCATATAACCAAGGCAGTCCGCTCCTAATGATTTATAGCCTCAGAAGCCCCATTGAACAGTTCTGCTGACCCTATAGGGTCCCTCTGAGTTGGCAATGGATTTTAGATAGTTTTATTGGATCTCGTAGCTGAATCTTATTTTAAAAATTTCATTATCAATATATGTTCCAAAAATATTGCCCCTCAATGGTTGAAATATGACAGGAATATGCATAGTTCAAATGTTGAAGAAATATATTCTTCTATCATAGCAAATCAGTCTCTAAACATACTATGGTGGTCATGTGCCTGGAGTCGGTTCCGACCCATAGCGACCCTGTACGGGGTTTCCAAGGCTGTAAGTCTTTACCGGAGCAGAAAGCCTCATCTTTCTCCTGTGGAACGACTGGTAGTTTCGAACAGCTGACCTTGAGGTTAGCAGCCCAACTGGTAACCACTACGCTACCAGAGCTCCTTAAACATGTTGCTGTTGTTGTTGTTAAATGCCCATCATGTGTGCATGTGTGATGTATGCACTGTAGTGTGTGCATGTGTGTGTGGTGTGTGAATAGTGTATAGATGTGTGTGATGGATGGGTGACATGCATGTGTGTGCATATGCAGTGTGTTGTTAAGTGCCGTCGAGTTGGTTCCGATCTATAGCGATCCAGTATAGGGTTTCTGAGGTGCAGTTGGTGATCTTGAACTGCCAACGTTGCAGTTCAAACCAACCTTACAGTCCAGGGCATTAACCCACAGCACCACCAGGACTATATGCTTACACAAACAATGGAGTTCACCCGTGCCTATCACCAAACTACTCGTTGGCAAAGAGGAAATTGCTTGATATTCAAGTCTCAGGAGCATTTTTGATATAACGGGGTGCCATCTTACGTGACTCACCTCAAACCACAACCCACCCCCTGTCATCAAGTCAACTCTAACTCACAGCGATCCTCTAGGACAGAGTCGAACTGCTACTTAGGGTTTCCAAGACTATCAATCTTTGCAGTTTTCCTATTCCCCCCCCCAACAATCAGATGGTAGCTTTGAACCACCGACCTTGATTAGCAGCCCAATGCCTAAACCACTGTGCCACCAGTGAGCCTTAAGATCTACAGTTCAAACTCAACATTTGCCCCAAGGGAGAACCATGAGGCTGTCTGCTCTCATAAAGGTTTACAGCCTCAGAAGCCCTCTACAGGATCGCCATGAGGTGACCAACTTAGTGGCAGTGGGTTAAGAATCTTCTTGAGTTGCTTGGTGAAGATCACATTGGAAATGAAAACTTGTTGTTACTGCATTTGTTGCAGGAAATACGTTGGGTGAATTAGCATGGTTATTTCATTCCATAGCTATTCCAAAATCGACCAGCAGATGGAGTGGCTCCTGCTGATGAGGTAGAGTTGAAAGCTCTGCAGCAGTTTTTAATAAAAGCGAAAACATAAAACTTGGAACAAGCAAGTAAAAATACAGCCACTTCTGAACTTTAGAGTAGCCTCAGAGGAAAGATAATATGAATTAATGAATGGTCTGGAAAAAATGAAGGTGGCTTGAATTCTTGCTTACTCTGTTTTCATCATGAGAACCTTATCTTACGTGCAAAGTTACCAGTTTCCTCCTGGAGTATAGATAGACTCATGAACCAATTTGCCTTTAACATTCCATTGTAAAGGTCAGATGAAAAGCTTCAAAACCAAGATGTGGGCCTGGTTTCATGCCAATCATAACTTAGGGTGAATGGGGCTTTTCTTTCTACCTTAGGGTTGCCAGTGTTTGCACTCCTGGTGTCAAAATACTAACATTATTCCTATTAATGCCGAGGCCGTCAATGACCAATTCTGAGAAAGCTTTGCGGGAGCCAATAAAATGCTAGTCTTCAAATTGATGAATCATTGCTTTCAGTTACACATGTGCTTTCCACAGTATATTTTTCATCTTCGTTTTCGCTGCAAAGTCTAACCCAAACCCCAAGCTCATTGCTGTTCAGTGAATTCCAACTCATCGTGACTCTAAAGGGCAGAGTAGAGCTGCCCATAGGATTTCCTAGGCTGCAGGTTTCTTTTATGGCCTGGGAAGCAGACTGCCACATCTTTCACCTGAGTAGCGCTTTGACTGCAATTCAGAAACTGTGAAATATTAAAATCTTTAAAACCAATAGTCTTTGCTAGCTATAAACCATGAAGTATTATTCAGCTGTGAATACTTTGTTTGCTCCTGTGGTTAGCCTTGGTTTGTTTTGTTGACACATCTGTATTCTTACTATTAAGGAACACGAATCTATTCATAGCAAGCTGCACAGAGGAGTTTTTGAGGGCTGAACACTTTTTGCGTGAGGTTAAGCAGTAGCCTATTTCTTCACGCATGTGGAAAAATAACTTACGTAATGGCTTCAAGAAATACTAATAAGCTTTGGTTAAATGAAGGACACCCCATTTTAGCACCAAGCCAGTATTTGTGAAGGTTTGTTTGTTTGTTTGTTTGTGTGTTTTTAATGTCAGCATTGTGTTTCTCTATTTAGGTGAAATGGAGACAGAAAGCCAGCCCAAGAGACTCTTCCAGGGCACTACCAACATGCTGACTCCTGATGCTGCCAAACTGGCTGATCTCAGTTCATGGTAAACAATGAAATACAATCAGAAGATTATTAGCTTACAATCCACTTAACAGAGAGCCACATCAGGTGTATATTGGGTCCATTTAAAATCTGTTTAACTTTTGCTAAGTGCTTACGGAGGGAACGTTTTGATGGAGGTAGAGATACGGAGCAAACACCAAACGAGCTGATCATTTGAGAAACACGAGCCTTTCCTTTAGAAGTGTGTGTCTCTTTTGACACTTTCCCTTTCATTCCCAACTCCTGTTCGGCCAGCCTCTCCCAATAGCTGCTGACAACGGTAGAGGGTCGACAGCTGGGTGGCACGAGAATGTTTCTGGTTTGCTGTGGGAGAACAAGTGTTGATTGTAGCTGTCCTGCCTGCATTTTTGCATTATATCCCTGTAACCTAGTAGAGAAAATCAGCATTCTCTTAAGCATGCTCTTCTCAAAATAGCATTATACGCTGCCATAAAACTGCAGTATCCCATCACCATGGTTCCATTTTTCTACCGACCACATCCTTACTTTTCATGCCGTATTCATGCAGATGATCTGGTAGCGTAGTGGTGACGAATCGGGCTATGAATTGCAAAGTCAGCAGTTTGAAACTACCAGCTGCTCCACGGGAGAAAGATGAGGCTTTCTGCTCCCGCAAAGATTTACAGCCTCGGAAACCCTGTACAAGGTCGCTATGGGTCGGAACTGACTCAACGGCACTTAACAACAACAACAACATCCTACTTTAGGTCTCTAACTTAAGGACGTTCCATGGTTTATTTTTATTTTTTTACGTTTTTATTGTGAACTGAGTGATAGTTGACATGCGAGAACATCGGCTTTACACCAGCGTTTCATTGCAATGATTGCAATCTCTTCCATGCATCTTCATTCAACAGTGTTTGTTTCCATTCCCTCTGTTTTTTGAGGGGTGGGGGTGGAGTTGACGTACAGAGAAACACTCAGAAATATATAATTACTTAAACAACCAAAGGGCACATTCTGCAAGCCTGCCTCCTGGCCGCCAGCACACAGCCTTTTTCTTTTCATGAGTCTAGAGTCCTCAGCTGCTCCCTCTCTCCATGTCCCCATCTCTGTCTCCATCTCTGGTGTCTCTGCTTCTCTGGATAGGGTCCTGCACGCCACTTGTGCTCTTCTCCCTTGATGGTCCTAGGGTCCTCTGTTTCTGGACTGAAAGATTAACTACTCCCCCGTTTTTGTTACAAGATGTCTACCTTCACAGTTGTGACAGTCACAGTTAGCCAGGGTAACAATTACTCACTATTGAATCACCAGAATCCTGTCCCCCATCTCCCTTCACCAGACCCATCTAGACAAGATGAAAATGATTCAGTGGGGACCCTCCCCTCCCCTGCATACTCTGAAACTAAACTCCCTCTTGAAAACTTGTAAGCCAGTCACTTCATAAGTTAGTGCTTACTTCGCCCCCTTATAAGGAGGTTCCATGTTTAGATGTTAGCTAACAACTTCTCCTGTCCCTGGAGTTGAACACTTAGATGCTGATGTATTAGAAGTTAATATTTTGAAATTCACTCACCAAGTACCCCTGTTCTAGATGCAATTGTGTACTGCCTTCCAGAACTTTCTGTTCCCTGAGCATTATAGTGAGAGTCTTTTCAAAACCCATGAAGGCACTCATTTTGAAAATAAAAAGGTGTACCCTCTAAATGAAGGGAGTGTGGAGAGCGTTTATAAGGAGTAAAGATTGGCAACTCCTTCGTCCCCAGTCACTCATTCATTGCTTCATGTAAAACAGTCTGTTCTTGTAGTTGATCAGTCTCAAGTTATTCTAGTTTAGGAAGCATGTTGACCTGTACTGTTCTGACCTTGAAACAGAGACGACTTTTAGATTGTTCTGTCTGTTTTCAGCCCCACAATCTCTTTAGTCTCTCATCTCTGTCTGTCCTCAGTAACTCAGTGTGCTAATTTTGGGATAGGGTGCCTTTCCAGGTATGTAGATGATTGCAGAGAGAAACTTCTGAAGCTTGTCAAGAGGAACAGTGGATGAAACTGTATACTTAGTTGAAACCACCACACAGATCACTGTTATGGTAAAGTGTATTTTAATATAGGCATGCAACTATAAATAGGTTTGCTTACCCAGTTACTAATCAAGTAACCAAGTTAGGTAAAAGATAGGAAAGCATTTGCCAACATCCTACAGGCTGAGGTGATTTTTCTTTTTATCTTGTCTTAGGCTGACTGTTCGAGATGCCATAAAACAGGTTCAAGAGCATAAGTAAGAAAGGAAAGGGACAGTCCAGTGTTGACCCCGGGTCCTCTCCCTATGCTCAAACTTCTGCTCCTCTCAGCAGTATGACCTAAGCTGCCTATGATGACAGCTGTGGGGAGACTTTAGTTTCTGAATTCACTACTCACATGACCCTCAGACCTATGGTTTTGGGAACTCAGGGAACATCGACATTGGAGGTGAAGGAAAACTTTGATCCTAAAATGCCCAAAGCTGTTTGTTGCCTCACATTAGAGAGATTTGCTTTATTCACAGCCACTCATAGATTACCAACCAGCCAAGACTTGGCTCAAGTTCTATGTTAAACAGTTTTTTTTTGTTTGTTTTTTGTTTTTAACTTTTCTAATGGCTGTTTTTAAATCTCCATAAAAATAGAGAGACTAGCGTAATGGACCTCCATGTACTCGTTCCAGCTTTCAATAGCTCTCAACACATACCCAATCTTGTTTGGTTACTTTCCCTCTCCACCTCTGGAGGTTTTTAAAGGAAATCATCAACCCATAAACACTAGAAAGCATTCTAGTGTCTTCTTAAATACTTCTACTTCATATGAGAACCATTATCGGGTCAGATTGAGTTGAAGGGCTTTGGATATTTAGATTGCTGTCCATATTTATATAGTCAGGTTTCAAGCACCTGGTGTGGTGCCGTAGAATAAGCACTGGACTGCTAAGTGCAAGGACAGTGGTTCAAACCCAACACTCACTCTTTGGAAACTATGCAGGGTCACTGTGAGTTGGAACTGACTTGACGGCACGGTCTTTATTTGATTTTTAAATTTTGAATAGCCTTAATTATATTTGTAGATGTTAGTTATTTCAAAGACTGATGTTGTTTACTGCTGATGAGTTGGTTCTGACTCATAGCAACCCTGTATAGGGTTTTCCAGTCTAGGCATGCTTTGCATTCCTATCAGAATTGTTTTATTAAGAATAAAAATCCCCAGGGTGCACCAAAAGTCTTAGTGCAGAAGTTCAGATCCTATATGCATTGTTGTCTTGAGTCAAGTCAGACTCATAGCAACTGCAGAGGTGTTTTGAGGCTGTGAATTGAGTGATAGTTTACATGGAAGAACATCAGCTTTACACTCATGCTATTATATTTTGTTTCATTGCAATAACTACAATCCCTTCCATGCATCATCATTCAACAGCATTTGCTTCCATTCTCTGGTTTTTTGTGTTTGTTTGTTTGTTTTTTAATGTATACTGAAGTACTAAGGAATATATAAACATTCAAACAACCAAAGGGTACACCCTGCACGCCAGCCCCCTAGCTGCCAGCGCACAGCTCCTCTCCCTTCTTGAATCTAGAGTCCTCAACCACTCTGTCTCTCTACTTCATCGTCTCTGCTTTCATCTCTGGCATCGCTGCTTCTCTGGATAGGGTCCCTCACTCCACTCTTTTTTTCCCTTGATGGCCCTAGGGGTCCTCCACTCCTGGACTTCAAGATCAACCACTTCCCTCCTTTTGTTAAAAAACGTCTACCTTTACTTCGCAACATTCACAATCGAGGCTGTAATCTTACAGAAGCATCTTTCTCCTATGAAGCAGCTGGTGGGTTCAAACCACCAACCTTTCAGGTAGCAGCTGAGTGCTTAATCACTGCACCGCCAGGGTGCCTGTTCAGATGCTATGTTGTTGTTGTTAAGTACCATGGATTCGTTTCCGACTCTTAGTGACCCTGCACAGGGTTTCTGAGGCTGTAAATCTTTACGAGAGGAGAATGCCTCCTCTTTCTCCCGCAGAATGACTGGTAGTTTCAAACTGCTGATCTTGAGGTTGTCAGTCCGACTCGTAACCACTATGCTACCAGAGCTCCTTGTTCAGATGCTATAGACTTACAAAAGATATCACTGAAATTTTAATGACTTAAATTTGTTTACAGTTAATTTTGTGATGTTTGAATAAGCTTTTCATTTTAATTTTTGTTTGAATGTTTGTCATCTTCTATCAGAGGGATTGAAATAGAATATTAAAATAAAAGATTATTATTCAGGTTAACCTACAGAATGCAAAAAAATATTGGCTACCCAAATATCTAATAAGGATTTAATATCCAGAACATATAAAGATTCCTACAACTCAAAACCACAAAAAGATAAGCAACTCAATTAAGAATTGGGCAAAAAGAGTTGAATAAACATTTATTCAAAGAAGATACCATATACAGATGGCCTACAATCCCATGAAAAGATGCTCAACATCATTAATCATTGGGAAAAAATTAATCAAAACCACAATCAGATGCCTGTTGTCAGGAAAATGGAAATTCTGTGTGGAGGAGGATTAAGAGAAATTAGAACTCTGGTCCATTGGTGGTGCAGAGGTAAAATGAAGCAGCCATTGTGGCAGACAATGTGAGAGTTCTTCAAAAAGTAAAACCTAGACTTACCATGCTGTTGTTGTTGAGTGCCATCGAGTCGGTTCTGACCCATAGCGACCCTGTATAGGGTTTCTGAGGAGCGACTGGTGAGCTGGAACCGCTGACCTTGCAGTCCAGCGCATTAACCTGCAGCACCACACCAGGACCCCAAGACTTACCATATGATCCATAATTCCACTCCTAGGCATATGCCCAAAGAATTAAAAGCAGGTACTCAAACAAATCCTTGTGAATGAATGTTCATAGTAGCACTGTGGCCACTAAAATGGAAAAACAACCCAAGTGTCTATCAACAGATGAATGGATAAACAAGCTTTGGTCATGGACATACCATGAAATTGGATTCAGTCATAGAAATATAGTTCTGATCCATGTTATAGCCTGAACAAACCTTGTAAATATTATGTTTAGTGAAATTAGTCAGACAAGTGTTATATGACCCCATTTATATGAAATATTTAGGATAGGCAGATGCTTAGGAGACAACAATGGATTAATGGTTACCAGTACCTTGGGGCAGTCAGTAGAAAATGGGGTGTTACTGTTGAAGAGGTTCTCAATGTCTGCCTGAGGTGATGAGAAATCCTTGAAAATTGATAATGCTGATGGTTGCACAACACGGTGCATGTGATTGATGCTCCTGAATTGGACACTTAAAAATGGCTAAAATGACCATTTTTGTGTTTTTGTTATACATATTTTGCCCTGATAAAAATTTTTTAAATTAGTATTCAAAATTCTAAAAACTTCAGTTTCCAAAGAGATTGGTAAATTAAACTTAACAATGATGTTTTTGTTAAGTGTGTCGCATCTGTACCTCTAGGGGTTATTAAAGCTTAAAACCATACCAAGACTTGGAACACCCTGTGTACTAATATTGTGCACGTTTCTGTCTCTAATTAAGAGATTAAAGTTAGTTGTTTCTTCTATGCAAAAAATGGGATCTTGCTTTTGCAGAAACTTTTTCTCTCTTTCAGTAATACACTTTCATCAGTTAATGCATCTGTATTCTTGGAACCAGGGCCAGAAACAGGAACCAGCTGCCTTCTAGTTTCGATTGCCAAAGACATTAGTCTACTTGCTAATGAAACTCAGGAAGCAGTTTTTATACTACCTCTTAGCAGAGCTGAAAAAAGGCCCAGATCATTAGGAGATGTTATCTCACCATTTAAATAGTTGTAGTTTGTTTTCTGCCCCAGAGAAAAAGAGGAGACAGGGTTTAACCTTTAAAGTTGATATACTAGATAGTCATCTTGAAAATCGTTATCCTAAGCTAGATTAGTGCAAACGGTTGGTTAAAGGTTTACCAAGTTCTGAGTCTAAATTGAGGTGGAGTGTCAATATAACTATGCTACCTTACTGTTGTTTCCCTGTTAATAAACAAAATCACACATGTTTATATTGAGTAGGAGAGAAGAAATCCTTGAAATTCTATGAATGAAATCTTCAGGTTCAGAGTTTGTTTGTTTGTTTTCGAATTCTCTTGGTAACTTCTCCACTAGTTTATTTCTCTGAAGGTAATCAAAGACAGACTTCACTGTGCGAATCTTGCTTTGTGCTTTCGAATGAATCCAGGGTTCACCTAAGCAAAGACGTCTTATTACAAATAGAATCTTTTAACTCAAGGGTCACTATAAGTCTGCTGGTTGGAATCAGAAGTTCTTTATTAATACTCTGATTTTCTACTCGGTAGCCAAGTTTTAATCTGAGCCCCTTTCTCCTTGCCAAGTAGTACAGACCATGCTCTGCCCCAGCCCAGCCAGTGTGTGCTTTAGGAAATTCATTTTCATATTAGTCTAGGCAAAAAGCTACAGGAGGAAAACTCACATATGTTCCAAAGGCGGATATAAAGGTCTTTTGACTTTCCAGTGTCTTAGATTATCTGTGCAACTTTCTTTTAGTACTTTGAATAATTTATACCTTAGATTCATTTTGCCATTTGGGTGGGGAAAAAGAACAACTCTGAGCCAATGAAATTTTCCAAACTTCTTACTTAAAAGTGGTGTTATTAATGATGCATTTGACAGCAGTGAGCGTACAGTAGGATTACTGTGGACTATACTGGTTCCAGTTTTATTTTCACTTTTCCGAGGCTTATTTGTGTTCTATCCCCACCTTAGGGAGAAAACAAGACAAAACAAAACAAAAATCACAGACCATAGGAAGAAGGGGCATTTTGAAGAAAAATAGAAGAGCAGAGATTCAGGGAGGGGAAAAAAAAAAAAAAGTTTTGTTTCATCAATAGGACCCAGAAACATCTCAAGGTACCCTAGGTTAATTTAACATGGGAAATAAATCCATTTAGGAATTTTTAAGAAATGATAATATTAAAGACACCTCTCTCAGAGCATCTTAGACCGGAATGGGGTTTTGCAAAGGAGCTAGCTAGTGACCAAGTTTAAATTAGAAACTCGTATTTCCTTACATAATCATTTCCTTCTCCAGTTCTCCGCGTTTTCCTTTTCAAAAGCAAAGCGTAAAAGCTTTGTCAGTCTTAAAACGGCTTGGCTTGTCTCTCCAGCTTTCTCTCTCAGCATGTGCCCCATATTCTATACTAGAGTCACACTGCCTTGCTTCCTCCCACACCTTACCAGCTAATACTGCACAGCTTCCGATTATTCTTCCACCGGACATCAGGTCAGCTGTGTGATACCCTCTCACAGCCCTGGTATCTTCCCTTCATTACTGTCTGACCATGTGTAATTATGTGCTTATTAGCATGGTGATTTCTTTAGTGTCAGTCCTTTGCCCTGCGAATTTGACGTATCTGTCTTATGCACCTTTGTATTTCCCATAGCTAGCATGATTGCTACACACAGTAATCTTAGAAGAAATGAATGAGTGAATTCAGGCAGAATGGAGAGTCCTGCAGTTTATATATTGGTTGGTAGGCATCAAAGCCAGAAAGGCAACTTGATGCCAAACTTTTCCTTCTGTGCTGCAATGGGAGGTCAGGTGATAAAGGAGACCAGATTGGGTGCTGGGGGCAGTGAGGCCTGGGCTTGATGGTAAGTTACCCGGAAAACACGGGGAAGGCGTGAAAAACTTCACGGAAACATTGAATGAAAAGAGAATGGAATTTTTCCATGTACTCTTTGAGACCTGCCCCCGCCTTGCATATCTGTCTTGATGCTCTGATTTGGCGTTTTAGTGGAAGAATAGAAGCAGAAGTCAGTTGTCAGGATGGCAAAGGAAGTGGAAGATGTGGTATTGGGACCAGAGGACTAGAGTATTTCTTCATTTGGCTGGTACCTGAGCACATCAAAGAAAGGCATCCTTTAGAGAGAGTACAGAGACTTTTGGGGTGTTGAAGACAAAAGGAAAGGAAACAACATAAGACATTCATAAAATGAGAAGAATCTAGAAGACATATAATTGGCGGAGAACATGAAAAGGGCAGTAAAATCTAGGAACTATGAGGTAATATACCTGATAGACTACTTCAGGTAGTCCAAGGTACCCCTAGAAGTCATCATTCCTCTGACTCTAAGCCTGGCAGGAAGGTAAGAGAGAAAGAAATCATAAAGCTAGAAATCTCTTGAGTTCAAGGGAAGGGTGCACACACCCACATGAAAACCATGCCATGTCAAGAGGAGCACTGAATGTATTTTGGGCATTCTGGTGCCTTCTAGAGAGCACACACATGATGCAGGACTTTGAAAGTCCTCTTTGGATTTCCTTGACTTTTATCACCTCCCAGGTATCTACAGGTAGCCCATTGATGTACTTCATTGCTGTTGCTTTAATGCTTTTTCATTATTTACAAAATGCTCTACTGATTTGTGAGTTTTCAAAACTGTGTTGTTGCATGTGATGTTGACCCTGATAGATGCAGTTGCTTATAATTCTTTTTGCTTTGTCCTCAGTTCAGATATTTTGGATGGCAGTAATAGCAGCAGTGGCTTGTCCTCAGACTCCCTGGCTAAAGGCAGCACTCCCGCAGAGGTTCCAGTAGCATGCTCCAATTCCTGCTCCTCGTTCATCTTGATGGATGATCTCTCACCCAAGTGACTTAACCATTGCTGATTCAGCGTGTTAACTGCTGTTTCCTATAGAAAACATTTAGTGAGGAATGCAGAGAACTTTAATCCATAACAAGGATTAAAGTTTTCCAGCTTTAAACTATCTGGGTGGATGCCGCTACCTCTGGGCATCTCTCTTCTCTAAAATCCAATTTTGCAAATGTATCAATGCTACTAATGTTTGGTGTTTCCAATCTCCCTTTGGAGTTAGTGTTGAAATCGCCAAAACTGATTTTTTGATTGCTTCAAATTGATATAGTAAGATATTCTCTTGGGGCCTCAAGGGCACCTATTTTAGAGCCTATAAGCTTAAGGAAAGTACTGATACATATTTTGATCATGGTTCTTTTTCCCCAAAAATGATACGACAAGTAGATCAGAAATTCTCTTGCTTGAGAGATTTTTTTCCCCGTCCCTTTTGGTTCTCTGTTCCTACATGGTTTCAGATCTCTTTGTTTTACAATACTCGAAGACTTGCTTTGAATTATACTAGGTTGGGTTTTTGTGTGTGTGTGTGTGTGTGTGTGTTTTTCCGTTTTCTGCATCAGCTTAAAGTACATTATTTTTGTTTCCCTTTCCTGTTTGAGCTGCTTACTTGCCATTTCTCACAAAGGGGGAGAGATGCATAGCTGCTTTTCTTACCATTCACATTGATGCTTTGCTGTTGGAGTCTCTGAAGTGCGGGGTGATTTTACGGTTTCTAATGGACCTGGGCTTCCGGGCTGCCTGGATGAATCAGCACAGGTTCTTATGACCTAGCTATCGTAGTTGCTGTTTCTCTCCACCAACCTGTTGCCTGAAGGGATATATAAAATATTGTTGATATTTCTAGGTGGTGTTATCAAGGAGAAGAAATTCCTGCCTTGACCCGATGTGTGGAGCATCTACAAATGAATGAATAATGTTATTTGCACACAAACCACTGTGTAGACCAGCTTACACAGAACTGGCAGTGTCAAGGGTGATGGTCTGAGGCCATAGACGCTTTGGAGGGTGCTGTTATGCTGTAAGGGGTGTGTATTATAAGGTATGGTGGAGGGCGGGTGGCTTTCTGTGTGATTGTCACGTTACTGTTTTCTCTTTGCTTTTTCGGTTTCCTTTTTTGTCACTGGCTTTGTTCATTTCGTCATGTGGTGATTGGCACTGCTCTGCCAGCATTTTGGACACTGTGTCGCCATCAGTCCAGTTCGCTTGCTCATGCTGCCTGATAACGGCAGTTTCATATCTAGAAGGGATCTTGGAACAATTGAACAGTTCCATGTTTTGTACATGCCGCTTTTCAGAAACTGTTGGAAATGATTCTGAAATAGGAGCCCTGGTGGTGTCACGGTTGAATCACTCGGCTGCTAACCGAAAAGGTCAGTGGTTCGAACCCACCAGCTTCCTCCACGGAAGAAAGATGTGGCAGTCTGCTTCCGTCAGATTTACAGCCTTGGAAACCCAATGGGGGCAGTTCTACTCTATCTTATGGGGTCACTCTGAGTCAGGGTTGACTGGACGGCAGCAGGTTTGGGGTTTTTGGTTTGAACAACAAACTGTATGTAAGAGTATGTCTAAGGTAGCATAGTGATTTAATTTTCAAAGGGAAAATGACTGAGCTCTTTCACAAAAAAGCCTGACTGTAATTTATTGTTGTTATTTATTATTTATCACTGTATAATGATGTCTGTGGTCATAGGTTCTTTTTTTTTTTTAGTCTTCAGCCATCTTGTTTGGATAATCTGTCAGATATGCAAATTGGCTTGCAAGGCTCATCATCCATTCTTAAATGATTGTAAGAAACAAATAATGACTGCATTTGTGTCTTTTGAAGTCAGAGACCACTGCATTTCAAAGGTGATGGGTGGGCTTGGAAGGTGCTCATGGACCGGTAGCCTGCCACCTGAAGGGAGCCCGAGTCTCTGAGTTGGTGTAGAGCCTCACTTAGCTTGCAGTGGCTCTGTTACAGCAACCTATGTAGTCTTCGATGTGAATTGTAACAACTGCCACAGTCGCCATTGAGTGGCTGGCTTTCTTGAATTGCTTTTGTCTGTGCAAAAAGTCCATACTGCATCCAACCTAATCAATATATGTGAACACTGTTCTGAAGACTGTCCTCTGGTATGCCATTTTAAAGCACACTGACTTCGATGGTATTCTGTGTCACTTCTTTGTATAAGAACCATGTGAAGCCATTTCTGCCTCTAAGCAGAGATGGTTTCTGTTTGCAGGCTATTTATCACTCTGCTGTCTTCTTTGCCTTAAAGAGATGCCTTGGCCATCAGTTTTAGGCTCTAATTTAGGACTGTTAAGAAATATCCTTTGAAATGTAAAAATCATTCAATTTATTTTTGAAATGGTAATCAATTGGTGGAGTCGAATTGGGGCAGGAAAATGAAACTATTCAGGTGGTATGAGAACTAGAAGGGAAGCTGCTTTGCTTTATTGCTGAAACCAATGTTCATTTTTACTGTTGACTAGGAAGTTCTGTTTGTGCAGGGATTCTTTTGCAATGAAAGACATATACTAACCTTCAGATGAGCTTTGCCGACACCACCCCTTTATTTTTATGTAAAGTCTACTATTTGAAAAGTGATCCTTGTTATAAATTTAAATTCTTTTTTTCCTAATGTACTGTCATGCCACATATTTCAGGCTCCAATTTGAAAACAAGTACAAGCGATGATTTGAGAAAATCCTATAGCTAACTGTTTTTGCCTGACTGACTTGTATAACCGTCACGTCACATGATAACCGCTTTTGGAATAATAGAAGTTTTGTGAATTGCTGGCCTTGTGTGTATCTTAGAATACAAATTTAATAAAGTGTGTACACATGTAAGACTTTTCGTAAACATTTTTAATGTCTTTCCTACTCCTTTTGATTGTTATTTTCTGCTGCTGTAGCTCAGTATTTCGATCTCTACGTTGAATTGCAAGTCAAGTTTTGAATAAAAGGAATCAGCAACACCAAAGAACTGAAAGCTGTATTGATGAGTGGGCCATTTCCCAAAACAAAGAGAATGCTCTCCATATAATCTGTCAAATTCTCACCAGCATTGTGTAGACAATTTAGAAGGTTCTGATCAAGCCCACACATATTGCTTACTTGATTGCAACTTATTTCTTCTTGGGTTTATTTTTTGTTTGTTTTTTTAAACGCAAGGTCTTCAATTCAAAATCAAATTCACCAGCTGATCATTGGAAACCAAATACAGGGTCGCTGTGAGTCGACAGCACTTAACAGCCACAATAAATTGTTTTTACAACAAGATGGAGTATTGGCAAAACCAAAAAAGGCATTTTATGGATAACTTGAGTTATACTAACTCAAATTTATTTTCTGTTTCAAAAAAAATATTTACCATTTTATTTGAAAATACGAAAAAAAAATGTATTGTAAATTGGGTAAAGGTTTACAGAGCAGATCAGTTTTCCATTCAACAATTCATATACATTTTGTTTCATGTCATTGGTTGCAATCCCCACGCGTAACATCACTTATCGCACTTCCTCCCTGGGTTTCCTGTTTCCACTCCCCCTCCTCCCTTCCTAATCCTTCTAAACTTTGTCCCCAGTAAATGCTACTCTTTTGATCTCAAATGGTAGATTATTATAAAGTACGTATCTTCCTAGTGTTATTGTGCCCTAATAGACAACTGATTGGCTGAAAAATTGAGCAATGGGGGTGAGTTCATTTCCAGATGAGAAGGGTGACCAAGAGCCACTCTCTATTTCCACAATCTTTCTCTGACCAGCAAGCCTGGTCTGTTTTGTGACTTTGAGTTTTGTTCCACATCTAAAAATACTTTTCCTTTTGCTGTAGTTTCTTCCACTTCAGCCTGAATTTGCATATGAGCAACTGTGAATCCTAGAATAGCATAAAACAATTTGTCCATCCCTTTATTTTTTATTCACTCCATCTCTCCATGTCATTGTCTCTGCCTCCATCTCTGGTGTCATTGCTTCTCTGGGTAGGGCCCCGCATTCCGCTCTTCTCCCTTGATGCTCCCAGGCTCCTGGGCTCCTGGACTGCAAAATCAACACCTCCACTCCTTTTGGTACAAAACGTCTACCTTTACGTTTGCAACACTCACAGTCAGTCTTGATAGCAGTTATTCACTATATTACCACAAGAGTCCTATCCCCATCTCCATTCATTAGCCCTGTCCAGACAGGTTGGAAACTACCCAGTGGAGATTCTACCTCCCCGTCCCCTGCACCCTCTGGATCTAGGCTCCCTCTTGAAAGCTTGTAAGCCAGTCACTTCTTGCTTTTGTAGCCCCCTGCATTTTGGGTAGCTAATGTCTAAGTTGCCCACCCCTGTCAACCCTGTGTACCAAGGAGGTGGGAGTGATCCTCGCTGTAAAGATTTGTTCCCTCTTTTGAGCTACTACATCCATACGTATGGGCCAAGTTCACCAAATTGTAGTGGACTACTCTTTTCCTCTTCTTTCTTCCTCTAGTTGAGTTTTCATCATCCAGCCATTGAAGCCAGGTCAAATGGGTGTTATCTGCAAGTATGGGTGTTCTTGTGCATCTCCCCTCACTTCATATCAGCTGAATGCTTCACTCTCTGCTCTAATCCTCTGTGGTCCAGGAGTCTCCAGGTCTCACCATACTGTTGGTCAACCAGGTCTCAATCCAGTCTGTTGAATGGGGTTGGACTTAACTCACAACCACATTGCTGCTCCCCCCACCATTTCCTCTTATCAGTAGGCCAATGTGATCACCAGCAAGACCATATGTCTGCCCTTGAGTCTCAGTCTTGGAGGGGGTTTGCCCTGAGGGGACCTGACCACTTGCCCTGATGGCTTCCTAGTGAACAACTTGCTTGTTCTTGTAGTAGTCAATCGGACTGCCATTATTTTTTAGTTTTCCTGCTAGTCTTTCTTTGAAGAAGTACCTTCTGTTCTTCTAGCAGCTCCAGGCTGGTCTGCTTATCCTTTCAAGTGGAAATTTCCCACCTCAGGAAATTCTGGATGGGGATCCGGATTCCACCTATGGTTTT